TAATTATTTATTTATAATATATATATATATATATATATATATATATATATATATTATTTTTGTCATGAATTTAAATTAAATTTCTCCTAATTTTGATTTTTTATTTTTATTTTTTTATATATATATATAGAAAATTCATCCATTTCCGCTGCTTTGTTACAGTTTCACATCTTCTAAGACTGCTTTTGAAGCTGAATAAGAACAAAATTCCTTTGACAAACAGAGCCAAAAGAGAATCAAATCACCAACTTCGACGATTTCGTTTTATGCATTGTTCCATGCTTGCAAGCCTTATCGGCGACCGAGTTTCTGCAAAAGATTGAGTGAAAATGCTGAAATCGTGTTCTGGAGATTAGGATTTTTATTGCCGGAGCGGAGTTGATCGACGGCGGAGATGGTGGTTAGAAAAATCGGCATTTACGAGGTCGGAAGGACGATTGGAGAAGGTACTTTTGCAAAGGTGAAGTTCGCTCAGAACACTGAGACTGGTGAGAGTGTTGCTATGAAAATCCTCGACCGGAGCACCATTATCAAGCACAAGATGGTCGATCAGGTCTTTGTCTTCTCTCTAATCTTTGTTCTAAGGAGTGGAAATATGTTCGTTCTTATTCTTAGCAGAGAACTAGAGTTAAATTCAGAGGAATCGCTTTTGGAATTTGATTTATATGATCTCGTCATTGCTACTGCAGCTACCAATTGAAGCTGAGATAATGAAATTGAGTATGTATAAAGTTAGAATGTCTCATAGTTAGCCATCAAAACAGTATTGCCTGTGATTACATGCTTCAATGATTTCGACTGTTGAATTAGATGATATATAGTATCATACTGAATGCTAATGATATCAATTGAGTTAAAAGATTCAACTGAGCTTCATTTATACGTGGTTGGATGAAAGTCCCACGTCGGCTAATTTAGGGATGATCATGGGTTTATAATCAAAGAATACTATCTTCATTGGTACGAGGCCTTTTGAGGAAGCCCAAAGCAAAGCCATGAAAGTTTATGCTCAAAGTGGACAATATCATACCATTGTGGAGAGTCGTGTTCATCTAACATGGTATTAGAGCCATGCCCTAAACTTAGCCATATCAATAGAATCTTCAAATGTCGAACAAAGTATTGTGAGTCTCGAAGGCATAGTAAAAAGAAAAGGAGTCAAGCCTCGAAGGCATAGTAAAAAATGACTAAGACTCCAAAAGAAAAGGAGTCAAGCCTCGATTAAGGGTAGACGTACTTTGTTCGAGGGGAAGTGTTGGATGAAAGTCCCACGTGGGCTAATTTAGGGAATGAAGAGGAGAAAAATGAACTTTTGTTGTCTTGAAGTTTTTGAGTGTAGAGAAATTATTTGCCTGCTTTATACTGTTTGATTAAAGCTGCAAATATTATCGGATGGGGAATCTTACTGTTCTTGGTACAAACTCTATCCATCTGTAGCTTTTGTACTCTTTTCTCCTGAGTAGTGTAAATAATTGGTCGGTGATGCAACAGTTAGAAAAAAATTCATACACGGATGCTATCTTTGAAAAACAAAGTAACTGGCAGGTCTTTTGATGGATACTTGATTGAGCTAGACATTTTGTTCTTGTAATCTTATTGGAATGCAATCCAAAGCTTTTTCAATATTTGATCCTGTGAAGTTACTAGCGTTTCTTCCATCAACTGTTACTAATATTCTGCAGATAAAGAAGGAGATTTCTATCATGAAGCTTGTGAGGCACCCTTACGTTGTTCGTCTTCACGAGGCATGGATTAATTTTCTGAAGTATTTATTCTCAATTATTATTTTTAGCCTCTTGTCAAGAGCTTGGGTTTGAACTTCCTTTTTCTTGTTTAACACTGGATACAGTATCCATTTTGGCTTGTAGGTTCTTGCAAGCCGTACTAAGATTTATATAATCTCGGAGTACATTACTGGTGGTGAATTGTTTGACAAAATGGTGAGTAATTCAAATAAAGAGCATTATTGCTTAAGGAAGATGAGTTGCTTGAAGTTTTGAAACTATTGCTTATTTTATATCCCAATAGCTCATGATGTAATTTGTGATGTCCCATTAGTTGGGGAGGAGAACAAATCACCATTTATAAGGGTGTGGAAACCTTCCCCTAGTAAACGCGTTTTAAAGTCTTGAGAGGAAGCCCGAAAGGGAAAGCCCAAAGAGGACAATATCTGCTAGTGGTGGATTTGGCCGTTACAAATGGTATTAGAGCCAGACACCGGACGATGTGCCAGCCTTCTCGCTGTTCACCGAAGGGGGTAGACATGAGGCGATGTGCCAGTAAGGACGCTGGGCCCCAAAGGGGGGTGGATTTGAGGGCGATCCCACATCGATTGGAGGAAGGAAAGAATGCCAGCGAGGACGCTGGGCCCCGAAGGGAGGTGGACTGTGATGTCTCACATTGGTTGGGGAGGAGAACAAATCACCATTTATAAGGGTGTGGAAACCTTCCCCTAGTAAACGCGTTTTAAAGCCTTGAGGGGAAGTTCGAAAAGGAAAGCCCAAAGAGGACAATATCTGCTAGCGGAGGATCTGGACCGTTTCATAATCCATACCCTGCAGGTTCATCATGGCCGGCTTAGTGAAGCTGAATCCAGGAAGTACTTCCAACAGCTAATTGATGGTGTAGATTATTGCCACAGCAAAGGAGTATACCACAGAGATTTAAAGGTTTATTGGCTGAGCCCGTGGAGAAAATATTCTTGCTGAGATCTGGAAAAGAAAAAAAACAACAAGAATCTGATCATTTTCTTTTTTTCTTTGAGTAGCCTGAGAATAGCACCAGAGATATTTATGGTTGTATCTTAAAAGCATGTTAAACCAAAATTTTTATAAGTTGATGATGACATCTATAAGCTTACCTTTTGGTTCGATTCTTAATCACTTCATTCCTCATGTAGGTGCTCAATCACAAGGGTTATGATGGTGTGCTATGGCAGATGTTTGGTCCTGTGGGGTAATCCTTTATGTGTTGATGGCAGGATATCTTCCATTTGATGAGCTTGATCTCACCACGCTATATAGTAAGGCATGAACCTTTTTTCATGTTATCTTAAATCTACTTCACCTTTTATGTTGCATTTTCCATACAAACGTTGAAATGCTATCAACATCTATGTTGGGTGCAAAATGGGATCAATGCTATGGCATGATGGTTAATTTCTTGTGGTGGGGTGGTGTTGATCAAGCAGTGAGAGCCGTTAAGCTGTAAGACAATGTATTGTCATGTCTGTTTTGGTTGGATTTAATTTGGATATGAGAGGCTTTCATAGACTCTTTTAGGTTAACTTAAAATGAAATATCATTTCAACATGCACTTGAATGATCGACTAATATTGTCATTTCCCTTCAACAGATCGAGAGAGCTGACTTTTCATGTCCATCTTGGTTCCCTGTGGGGGCAAAACCCTTGATCCAAAGAATATTTGACCCCAATCCTTCAACTGTAAGTAAGCATTGCCGAACATGACGTGCTCTATGTTGTAAATTATCATAAGTTTTGATTTGATTTCGTTATTTAACTTAGATTTGATTTGATTATTTGAATTAGATTTAGTCATACTAGGGTTTAGTTATATATCGGGATTTGGGAGAGCTTTGGGAGTCACATTGTATTTGTTGAGTGACATATTGGTGAGAGACTTTGTAGTGTGATAGTGAGGCATTCACTTGTAACACTTGGATTTATTAGTGATTGGTTGCTACCCGTGAATGTAGGGGAATTTTTTTTCTCCGAACCACGTAAATATCTTGGTGTCATTGGTGTTGTGAGTACATTTGTTCCGCTTCCGACGCACAACACTCTATACGAAGCATTCGCTATGCCTTTACTTTACTGTCCAAGTGCGAGAAAAAAGAAAAAGTCCATTGTATCTGCTATGCATTTCTTCTTCCAATATCTGAATGATGGAACAAATTACCAGGACCTTAATGTTTTTATGTTATATTTCCATTTGAGCCAATAGATGTAGCAGACATTATGATTATTTAGTTCTATAAATGCTCTTGCAAGTTTCAGTACTGCAAAGCTAGAATGTCCTTCAAGTTTCATACCACATTATTGCTCAAGGAAAGAGACCTATTAGTAACTCATGATAGCCCTGTTTTCACTAATCCCTCATGAACTGATAGCAGGCTCATTACAATAGTGCACTAAGATTTTTCGTTGTTCTCATGTCCTGTTGCTATCAGTCTCGTTATTTTGGGTACTAGTACTTTCTGATAAGTTTCTCTTTTTGTTTGTGTAGCGTATTACCGTCGAACAGGTCAGAGAGGATGAATGGTTCAAGAAAAATTATATTTCTGTCAAACTTTTCGAAGACGAAGATGTTTACACCTGGATGATGTGAAGGATGTCTTTGATGATCCTGAGGTTGGTAAGGATTATAGTACTATATTGGCATTTGTGAACTGAGATTTATTGAACTCTGGGCATCCTTAAATTTGAAGATTAGTTAGGGATTCTATTCTTATTTTCATCTCATTCGTTGGCAAGCTCTTGTTGAAGATTATTGGGAGTGGGTCACATTGGTTAATTTAGTGGAAGATCATGAGTTTATTAGTGAATACTGTCTACATTGGTATGAGATATTTTGGGGAAGCCCAAAACAAAGCCATGAGAGCTTATGCTTAGAGTAGACAATATTGTACCATTGTGGAGATCCGTGATTCCGAACATCAAGAAATAGGGATTATGAGAATGACACTCTTGATGTTCGGACCGCACAAAAACACAGTCGATTTAGATGAACACAAAGAACAAGAGAGAGAAAATTTATATATCATTTACCATATATAATAAATATATAATTAAACTATAAATAATCATTAGACTCCGTAATATAAACTATATAATAAATTTACAGGTTGCATGTAAAATATAGATAATAAAAATGTGAAAGATAGATTGAAGATTGGACTTAATAATTAATTTGATAGGTGATTTTTTTTTATTTTTATCATCGTGCTTGCGTCATAATTATTTTCCTGGACGACGACAGGCCCAGAAAGTGGATAAGCAAACACGCCGCCTCCCCACTCTCCCACCTCCATTTTTCCCTCTTCAATTTTTACACTCTGTAAGTTTCCCCTTCTCTCATTCTCTCTTTTTGCAGAACCCCCAATCTCTGCCCTTTCATACACTGAAAGAACAAGGCCCCATCGGCCTCCACTTCTTCAATTTCTTCACAGTCGATTAAAGTGGATCTCTAAGGATCAAAACCCTTTTGTTCCCTCCAGGTTGAAGGAGGAGTATGGATATAACGTTACATGCAAAGCATTACACGGATGGATTCTGTTTGTTTCAGCGTCGCAGCACCAAAAATCGCGGCCGTAATGTTAGGGCCGAAAGAAGGGCTACTCCGGAGACCAATTCTGTTAGTTTTTTTGTGGGAGGAAAGGGGAAACCTCGATTTCTTGTTGTTCCTTCTGATTGTTCTGAAGAATCCTTTGTTCGTGCGGTTCTGAAGAATCCTTCGCAACAGGGGGAGAAAAATGTTCATACCCATTTGAATGGCTCTAGTTCTTCATCATTTTCTTCGAATCATTCGCAGAGTTTTGAGGAATTTGAGAACAATAATCATCTTCGTCGACTGGTAAGAAATGGGGAATTGGAAGAAGGGTTTAAATTCATAGAGGGTATGGTTTATCGTGGTGATATTCCTGATGCAATTGTGTGTACTAGTTTGATTCGTGGTTTGTGTAAAACTGGAAAAACTAGGAAGGCTGCTCGAGTTATGGAAATTTTGGAGGATTCTGGGGCTGTTCCTGATGTGATAACTTACAATGTTCTTATTAGTGGTTACTGTAAATCTGGTGAAATTGACAATGCTTTGAAACTTTTGGATCGAATGAGTATTTCTCCTGATGTTATTACTTATAATATAATCTTGCGTACGCTCTGTGACAGTGGGAAGTTGAAGGAAGCCATGGAAGTTCTTCATAGGCAGTTGCAGAGGGAGTGTTATCCTGATGTAATAACTTATACTATATTGATTGAAGCAACTTGTAAGGAGAGTGGAGTTGGGCAGGCGATGAAATTGTTAGATGAAATGAGGGAGAAAGGATGTAAGCCTGATGTTGTCACTTACAATGTTCTTATAAATGGGATTTGTAAGGAAGGAAGGTTGGATGAAGCTATTGAGTTTTTGAATGAAATGTCTTCCTATGGCTGCCAACCTAATGTGATTACTCATAACATCATCTTGCGTAGTATGTGTAGTACGGGGAGGTGGACGGATGCCGAGAAGCTGTTGGCTGAAATGGTTCGTAAGGGATGTTCTCCTAGTGTTGTTACTTTCAATATCTTGATTAATTTCTTGTGTCGAAAGGGGTTGTTGGGTCGAGCTATTGATATTTTGGAGAAGATGCCACAGCATGGCTGTACTCCGAATTCCTCGAGCTACAACCCGTTGCTTCATGGGTTCTGTAAAGAGAAGAAGATGGAGCGGGCGATCGAGTATTTGGATATCATGGCTTCGAGAGGTTGTTACCCTGATATTGTGACGTATAATACTCTATTGACTGCATTGTGTAAAGATGGGAAGGTAGATGTTGCTGTTGAGATACTGAATCAACTTGGTACTAAAGGTTGCTCTCCTGTATTGATTACATACAACACAGTGATTGATGGGCTATCAAAGGCAGGCAAAACGGAAGATGCTGTTAAACTTCTAGACGAGATGAAGGAGAAGGGACTCAAACCCGATATAATTACGTACTCGTCGCTCGTTGGAGGGCTGTGCAGAGAAGGAAAAGTTGATGAAGCAATTGCATTTTTCCATGATCTAGAAGAAGTTGGTGTGAGGCCAAATGTTATCACATACAACTCTATCATGTTAGGACTCTGTAAGGTTCAACAAACGGTTCGTGCCATCGATTTCTTGGCATCGATGGTTGCCAGAGGCTGTAAACCGAACGAGGCTTCCTACATGATTCTTATTGAAGGGTTGGCCTATGAAGGTTTAGCCAAAGAGGCATTGGAGTTGCTTGATGAATTGTGCTCTAGAGGAGTTATGAAGAAGAGTTCTGCAGAGAGGGTAGTGATCAAAAACTCTTTTTGATGTGTTTTTTTTACTGATTTCATCATTAAATCTACAAGGATGTGGGATTTTTTATGATCTTGGAGCCAAATTATGTGATCTGGGTAGAATCCAAAACCAATTTTGTAAGATAAAATCCTCAGCTCGAGTCAGATTTGATAAAGCTATCCTCCTTCGTTACTTTACATTATTATACATTGGATTGCTTTCCAATGGTGATAGTTCCTCCATTGATGAACTCCATGGAAACAGTAGCTGAAATTTCCACAGTTCTTTCCATTAGAATTTTGTTTTAAATATGCTTAAGAAACAATCTCAATGGTCACTGCAGAGCAGAGGTGTGGTGTCCCACATTGATTGGGGAAGAGAACAAATCACTATTTATAAGGGTGTGGAAACCTTCCTCTAGTAGACCTGTTTTAAAGCCTCAAGGGAAAGCCCAAAGAAAGCCCAAAAAGGACAATATCTGCTAGCGGTGGGCCGGATTGTTACTAATAGTATCAGAGCCAGACACCAGACGATGTGCCAGCCTTCTCGTTGTTCTCCGAAAGGGGGTAGACATGAGGCGGTGTGCCAGTAAGAACGCTGACCTCAAATGGGGGTGGATTTGGGGGCGGTCCTACATCAATTGTTGGAAGGAAAGAGTACCAGCGTCTTTACTGGGCCCCGAAGGGGGGTGGATTGTGATATCCCACATTGGTTGGTTGGAGAGGAGAACAAATCACAATTTACAAGGGTGTGGAAACCTTCTAAGAGTAGATGCGTCTTAAAGCCTTGAGGGGAAGCCCGAATGGAAAAGCCTAAAGAAGACAATATCTGCTAAGACGAGATGTACACAAAGAATAACCTCTGATTCCTAACAAGTGCAAGATAGATAGGGAGAGGCACACACCAGCAGCCAGACACCACTACTTACAAGGACACAATAATATCAAGAATGGACCCCCCAGCTAAAGCTTGAAGAAAAGCCTGAAACTAAACTGGCCTACCAGACACAAAAAGCCAATTTATGTGTCTCAATTAAACTGATAAAGTTAGACCTGTAACAGTTTTTCAATCATTCAGACAAACTATCCAGTCCTGTATAAAGCACGTTAATGGAGGTCACTCTAAATGCCATATTCCCGATAGATATCAGAACTTCAGATTAAGCAAGCAAATGAAGCTAAAAATGTGTTCTTCATTCTGATTCTTTTCAAGTAAAACCCACCAAATTTATGGATCAAGACATATCATTCACAGACTAATGCGTTTAATTTCCAAATTCACACATTTAAAATAGCTATTATAAGCAAATGACATTTGAAGCCCACCTCCATACACCCCCTTCCCCCCCCACAACCACAGGACAGGTGGTCGAGCTTATGGTGCCTTCTATGACTCGTCTAACTGGTCCTGCAAAGAGTCAATATCTAATGTTATGCCCTGATAATAAACGGGAGTAGGGACTGCAAATTGGGCTTTGTGGGGTTTTCTTCTGGAAAAAAATAAAAAATATACTTTTAGTTATTGAGTTTCTAGTATAATTTTTTCTACTAGAATTCAAAAGGTTACACTTTTACAAGTTTTGTTTGTCATTACTATTAAAATTAATTTTAAAAAATTTCACATCATAATTATTTTAAATTAATTAACTAAAAGTTAATGTCAAGTAATAAAATTGAGCATTAGTGAAAACTCAAGTAAAATGTAAAATATTGAAATGCAGGGACCAAATGGAAACTAAACTCAAGTAAAAATGTAACATTTTGAAACCGAGGGGACAAATAGATACTGTAATGAGGAATCAAAACGAAAAGGCATCCTTTCCTTCCTTTTTTTTTCCTGGGTGGATGGTATTTACTGACCTGCGCATCTGAAGTCCAGAGAGTGAGGTTGTCCCTCAATAGCTGCATGATGAGGGTACTGTCCTTGTATGATTCTTCACCCAAAGTATCTAGCTCAGCAATGGCTTCCTCAAATGCCTGATCAGAAGCATAAGAAATGATGAGTAACATACACGATAGACTGGGAAGCATAACGCTTGTAAGTGCACTTACACTACGGTCGAGGTGGATAATTTTACGGTTGTGCTGTGTCAAGCACGTTATAGCAAAAAAGGGGATATGAAAATAAACCAAAAGTGATATCAAGAAAATGTAACATGGGCAAACAGTTTCGAAGGTTTCAACCAACCGAGAATTTGTTCGATGAAACTTCAACAATGTGGCTAACAATTATCCACCATTGAATGTAGGAAAGAAAGTATCTCAAATTTACATCTAAAGATTATTAGGGGCATAGAGATTTTTTAAATCCAAATCCAACAGTTATTGGGACAGTCAAATTGTGATAGCCTCAACAAATAATTTTTCCAACTACATGCCTATTTATGTAGCAAAGTCATAGCAGAGTTCTAATCACGATAGAACACTTTAAAAGGGAGATGAATTGAAACATGAATCACATTCAGTCACAGATTCAATCATCTACGGTAGACATAACCAGCCTAATGACAGTATTTCACTAATAAGCATGATACATTCCTGAAAGCTGGACTTGAGTAAAAGAAGAGTGATACAGAAACAAATGCAACAATGTGAACTATTTGAATCATTGGTCAAAGAAGATGCATATTAAACAAACATGTCCAAATCTGCATATGCAAGCCTGCAATTGTAAGATCCACGTAAAATTGTTTCATGGGTGCAGAGGGATGTGTGATGCTAAACAAGTTTTAGGAGGAAGGTTCCTTGCAAACACGTTAAGCAAGTCACGTCAAGACAATAGCTTGACCAATTCGCCGCAGTAATAGTATTAGCTGACGCATTAGGAACACTTGATAACCGAGAAAAAATACAATATGACAAAGATCCATGAAACGAGGCCCCAGTGATCATGCAAAAGAGTGCCAGAATTAGCCCACGCTTCGTCTCAGAGATAAAACAAAGACGAGAAATAATGTACAACGGGCCATATGAACCAGAAATAGGTGAATGAAAACAAAATGAAGGATCAAATATACCTCCTTGGCCATGCTACAAGCTTTGTCGGACTGATTCAGAATCTCGAAGTAAAATACAGAGAAATTGAGTGCCAGCCCCAGCCTAATCGGATGAGTGGGTGCAAGATTTGCAGCTGCAACATCCTTCATAGCATAAAATTCAACAAATGCAAAACCAGAATTCAGAATAGTCCAATCTCAAGCACCCATATGATAGAATAAAAAAAAATCCTAATATGTCTTCATTAAATTTATTAAAATAAGCCACTAAGGAGGCGCGACATAGAAACGGTTTCTTGGAGACTGGAGATCCCACAAGAACAGCAATGAAGAACCGAGTAATAAATTAAAAAGAAAAACGTCTTCGATCTGAAACCAGGATAAATCAAGATTTAATTTCTGTGGAAGAAGAAGGCTGTAACTATCAACAGTAAGAGATGGATCGCATAAGTAGGGATGTTCGTAGCGGTACTATATCAGAATTCAAAGTCAATTCACAAGTCAAATGTCCAACTTCACAGGTCCATAAAAGCAGCACCAATTCAAAAATATCTCAATAATACCAAAAAAGAAGGAAAAGAAAGCTAAGCCAGAAGTACCTGAGCAGCCTTATAAGCCAGCATAGTATCCTCAGCAGCGGTTTTCCTCTCATCCCCAACCTTAAACTCAGCCAAATACCTATGGTAATCCCCCTTCATCTTCAAGTAGAAGACCTTAGACTCACTAGCAGTGGCGGAGGGAATAAGATTCGAGTCCAAAAGCTTCAAAATACTCGCACAGACCTCGGAAAGCTCAGTCTCAACATTTGATCTATAATCCTTAACAAGAACAACATGCTCTTCATTCTTACGGCTCTCCTCCTTCTGCTCGATGGAGGAGACAATCCGCCAAGCGGCTCGAAGTGAGCCAATCACGTTCTTGTAAGCGACAGAGAGAAGATTTCGCTCCTCCACAGAGAGCTCGGAGCCTGGGGTTGAACCAAGAACAAGTTTCTGCATGAACTGAACCATCTCCTCATATCTTTCGGCCTGCTCGGCAAGCTTTGCTAGGTACACATATTGCTCACGAGAGAGATTTTCCGGCACGGCGGTGGCCATTTCTGAACTCCGGCGAGCAGAAGAAAAGGATACAAAGAGAAAAGGAGAGGGATTAGCGTTTTCGCCGTGTGGTAAAGATCCGCGGGCGGCTTTAAAACCCAAAAAAAATAAAAAACAAAAAAAAAAGAGCTGTAATAGCCTGCGGCGGATGTAGAATAAGAGATAAGTGTGAGCCGTTGGATTAAAGGTAGTGACGATGACATCGAGGTGATTGAGGAGGATTGCCAGCTCATTTAAATGCAAGGAGAGAGAAAGCTGACACATCTTTTTCTATTGTTAATAATTTTCAATCATATTATGCGGTAGCGTTTCAATTAATTATGCCTCCATGGCAAGAAATGGAAGGATACCCTCCACGACATTGCCACGTCATTTATTTTCCTATTTTATTTAAAAAATCCACAAAATTAGCTCTAAAGAAAATAAAAATATTCGTTTATTGGCCAGTAATAATTATTCGTTTGGAAGAATAGCATTTTTTTTCATTCTTATAAAATTCATGAAATTATTATTAAAAACATTTTTTTTTCCTTCGAGTTCGAAAAATTTTAAGATAGAAAAATTTGTGCTTCTCTAAAAGTGAAAAAAAAAAATAGATGGCTACTACATTCATTTCATTCATAAAGACATTTCTTTTCACTAATAAATGCGTGAAAACAACTAAAATCAAACACAAAAAGTATGAAAAATTTATCCTATCATAAAGAGATTTCGAGGCAATAACTGTAACAGCTCCAAGTCCACCGCTAGCAGATATTGTACTCTTTAGAGTTCTTAAAACGTCTGCTAAGAGAGGTTTCCACATCTAAAGATGCTTCATTCTCCTCCCCAATTCCGGACTTCTCCTCAAAGTTTTTAAAACACGTTTGTTAGGAGAGGTTTCTACGTCCTTATAAAAAATGCTTCGAACATAAAATCTCACATTATGTCCCAACCTTAATCAACATCCATGCATACTCATTATGCAAATGGGTAGCACTCTTTTCCTGTCCCACAGAGAATTCTGAGGCTACAATATCAACAACTTCAAGAACAAACCATGAGAGATTGAAGGCCACAGATCAAGAACTTAAAAAGTAAAGTTTTCAGCTAAAATGGGAGCTCTTTATTGCAGATTCTGGGCATTTTTGGGCTTATTTCGTTCTATGCTCGAACTTGTTCACCCTGTTCATACATCAATGAAGAGTTGTTTCTTTCTTTATACAAATCTGAAGGGTTTCTGTTTTGATATTTATACAAAGATCAGAACAAAAGAAAAAATGGGTAGCAGAAAGGGGAAAGCATTGCCTCAGAGGTGCGCCGCTGGAGCTGTCATGTGTAAGCCAGATTGATAGAGAATAGGCCAAATGTTCCCATGTGTACCGACAGGGATGCTTAGGAAGAATGGAGTATATGTTTTTTACCCAATGGAATGCTTAATTCCGAGGCCATTACAAGTCAATATAAGCCCCTTGAAACGGTTGAGATATTCCTGCACAACACGTAATAATTTACAGACATAAGAATAATGGAAGGCGTGGTTTGGTGTGATTGTGGTAAAAAGTAGCAGAGAGGGGAGGGGATTTCTTACAACTACGGTGTAATCATATTTGTACAGCATGCCTTTGTTGTCGTATTCTCTCCTCTTGATGGGATCACTCAAAACTGTCCATGAATAATTGAAGTGGTTTGTGAGATTTAGAGATTATTAATTAAAAACCCAAAGCAGCCTGGACTAACAAAGAAAGAGAATGTGCATCTACTTTTTATTCCACGCCATAACTCAACCATAGATCTCCCATTGAGTCTGTGATGATGTAGAACAAATGGAGTTCCTCTAGATTGCTTTCTCAAGCATTCCCTTCATTGTTTTTAGTTTAAAATAGGTTTTCTACCCGATCCTTAGAGAATATGTGAGATCCGATATCGGTTGAGGGGAACGAAGTATTCCTTATAAGGGCGTGGAAAGCTCTCCCTAGTAGACACGTTTTAAAATCGTGAGACTGATAGTGATACGTAACGGGCCAAAGTGGACAATATCTACTTGCGGTGGGCTTAGGCCGTTGCAAATGGTATCAAAACCAGACACCAGACGGTGTGCCAGCGAGGACGTTGGGCGCTCAAGAGGGTGGATTGTGAGATCCCACATTGGTTGGAGATGGGAACGAAACATTTCTTATAAGGGTGTGGAAAGCTCTCCTTAGTAGATGCATTTTAAAACCGTGAGGCTGACGATGATATGTAACGGGCCAAAGTTGACAATATCTGCTAGCGGTGAGTTTGGGCTATTGCAAATGGTATCAGAATCAGACACGGGCGGTGTGCCAGTGAGGCTGGGTCCCCAAGGGGGTGGATTGTGAGATGTGGGAGAGGAGAACGAAGCATTTCTTATAAGGGTGTAGAAAGCTCTCTCTAGTAACCGCGTTTTAAAACCATGAGGCTAATGGCGATACGTAACGGGCTAAAGCGGGCAATATTTTCGTGGCCTCTCTAGTGCTTTCATTGTTCCTGATGGTAATCGTTTGTGCCTTAACCAGTTGAGCTATATAATAAAAATGGTAGAGAAAATAACCGTAGAATTGAAAGTGGGATCATCATCTTTGTGTTTTAAGCCTTGTAAAGTAACTTGTGAGCTTTTTTCCCATTTTCGTGGCCTCTCTAGTGCTTTCATTGTTCCTGATGGTAGTCGTTTGTGTCATCCGCACCCCCACCCCAACCCAAAAGAGAAAGTGGAAGAACCAAAAGTTTGTCATCTCCCACAACAACAAACCAGTAACATATCTGAGGTTCTCATACTAAGGGAAATTACTCAATTAAAATAGCAACGGCCCTAGGTTATCGTGCTCGACGAACAGACCTCCATAGACTTCTTTCCCACCATAACTACTACCATAAAGTCCCTCAAAGAATTCACTTTTCCATTACTTTTTTTCGTTTTATGAGAACTTTCCCATTCTTTTTTCTTTCATTTCTCTAAGTACTTGGGCTTCTAAGGCCTTCATGTTACCAATATAGAACCTTTGAACCTTTGAAGGCGAAGTCAGAAGTGCATGGAGCCAATTTGATTGGTACCTACTAACATTTTGTTGTCAGGTTAGGAAATCTTTGCGGTCCTCGACGTTTATCATGTTCTAAACTGTGGACTTTTGCCTCTTCACCATTATTTGACAGCCAAGAAACTCGAAGGGTTTGTAACGGCCCAAGGCCACCGCCAATAGATATTGTCCTCTTTGGGTTTTCACTTTCGCGCTTCCCTTCAAAGTTTTTAAAACACGTTTGTTAGGGAGAGGTTTTCACACCTATATAAAGAATGTTTTGTTCTCCTCCCCAACCGATGTGAGATCTCACAATCCACCTCCCTTTGGGGCCTAGCATCTTCACAGGCACTCATTCCCTTCTCCAATCAATGTGAGACCCCCCAGCATCCTTGCTAGCACACCGCCTCGTGTCCACCTCCCTTTAGGGCTTAGCCTCCTCCCTAGCACATCGTTCGGTGTCTGGCTCTGATACCATTTGTAACGGCCCAAACCCACCGCTAGCAAATATTGTCCTATTTGGCCTTTCCCTTTCAGGCTTCCCTTCAAGATTTTTAAAATGCGTTTGTTAGGGAAAGGTTTCCACACCTATATAAACAATGTTCTGTTCTCCTCCCCAACGGATGTGGGATCTCACAGTGTGATTCCCTTGTAAGCGACCACAAGGCCACTCGATTATGGAAGTCCACAGCCTACAATTACCATTGATATTTCGCAATCCCCTTGGCTAAAAGCTGATTCCTTGGCTCCTATTTGTACCATTTTTCCTCTAATGATATGTTCTTTGTCTCCAGTTTGTTTCTTTTTTTAATGGCAATTGCTCCTCCAAACCAAACATTACAAACGACACAATTTGTACTACTCCAGAGTGATCAAATAAAGCACACACCACCCAACTCACGAATGACGAGTATACATGATCCCTGACTAAGACGTGCGATGAAAAATGCAGTCAAACCTGTAAAGTAATGCGAGCAGTAAAATGCATTAGAAACTAAAAGCTGGAAACCGACCTTGATAAGCCTCATTTATTTCCTGAAATCTGGAAGTGGCACTATCCTGATCTTTGTGCTTATCAGGATGCCATTTCTGCAGGGAACCAATTCCAAGTACCGGTTGAGATTATCACCCACAAACAAGAATACTGAAATGAGAACCAAATCAAAATGGATAACCAAAAAACAAGCAATGGAGATAGAGTGGAGAGAACACGAATTCACGAACCAGAGCCAGCCGAATGTAATTGGCCCGAATATCATCATCGGTTGCATCGTAATCCACCTCCAACGTCTTGTAATAATCCTAAACCGGAGCAAAACTCATAAAAGTTCATCAATATGGAAAAATACCCAAAACCATCACAAAACCCTAGTTAGCTTCACAAGAACAATAAAAACACTTGGAAGATGAAGAGAATGATGTACGAAATGCTCGTAAAGAGCAATCACCTTAGGTTTAATCGCGGCGGCGAAGAAATCGAAGTCAATAAAGGATTCTTGATCGGATTGTGGCAGATCGGAGCCCGGCAAGCCACTGTGCCTATCGTCCCACATCGCAACGCAGCAGAGAGAGAGGGGGAGAGTGAGTGAGAGGTGGAGGAGGGTGGGGGCTTGAGATAATATTGGGAGTGGGTCGTGGCCGATGGATTAAAGCGATTGGAATGTGGTCGGTGGTCCGCTGGCTCGTCCACGTTGTCTTTTGAGTTTTTGTGCTTGTCGACATGCCGCGTACTTCCGAGCTGAGTGTCAAAGTGACTTGAAAATATCGTCCATAATAATTCAAATTTCTATTTATTTGGTTTCAAATTTTTATGTTATATAATTTAGTATTTCTTCATGATTTTAAAATATTTTTAAACCACTCAACTAGCATGATTTAAGTTGTGTAGAACAAAATAACTCGATTATGACGAATTTCATAAAAGAAAAACTAAACACGCATACCTATGGGGAGGATAAGGAAACAAATCTCGGGTATGAACAACCTTGTGTGTCCTTGAATAGATGGTCAAGTAATCGGTTGCATCACATATTGGACCATAGGTAATGTGTAGGGCTAACTAGACCTATCACGAGATAAAACTTATATCCCTAGAGCTCCCCTGATAGGAGAAATACAATCCTATTGGATTTGAACAAATATTTGACATGTATCGTTGCATCATGTATTGGACCATTGATAGGTTCACTTTTATCGTTTAGTTCTTGAACTTTCGCTTGTGTATTGATCTAATCTCTAAACTCTAAAGAATGTTTAATCAATCCCTAAACTTTCATATCGAACATTCACTTCAAATTCATGAACTAGACCGGGAATTGCAAGTTTATAATCTCATTAAACACGAATTTGAATGTTTGGAAAATCTACTGGATCGAGTACAACATAGCAGAAAGCACAGGACAATCTCAATTTGGGAAACATAAATCTCTATCAACAATATTGCATAAGTTGCAGTGCTTGCTTCCATGTGGGAACAAGCTACAAATAATAGTTTTTGGCATAGATACAGAAATCTCATCCAATAATAACAAGATCCTAGCAGAATAGAAAAGATATCTACACGAGTGTATTCTTCAAGGAACTAATCAATCTGGGCATGCAAGAATAAGCCTAAAGAACAACAAATTTTCTTTCGGATACTGCACTTGAGCAGAGCATATTTACATAAGAAGGTATGTTAGAGAAGCTTTGATATTACTTGGCAGGAAGTCCAGAAGGCTTTAGAAGCAGCACTTAGAATCACAGGGTTCTGGTATAGCCTGTGCATATCAGTTGCAGGAAGTATCAGAAGAAGAGAAATATATTGCCTTTTCCAGTTTCAAAGGAAGGAATTCAAATGTTAAACCTAATATGCATACAGATTCTCTATAGTGATGTAAATACAAGGAAAAACAAATAAACAAAAATCCTTTAGTATGAACATGAATATGTGAAACATGAAATTTAAGGACAATGTTATATAGTTCAACTGGTGGCATCGAATTGCCACAGCATACGGGCAGCTCTTGATGCTCATCCAGGTTATACTAAAAGAATAGCATTAAAAGAATAGCACCATCGCAGAAAAACAATATTGGATATGACCAATATGAGCATATGAGCATAATTCAATGGTAACTGATATCTACTCATTTTGAAGTCAGAGGTTCAAATTTCTATACCTCGCATTCGTTTGTTTGTCCTCGGGGTAAAAAACAAGAACACTTTAAGGGAGCACATCAAGCAACACCATTTTTAATTGTCTTAGTGGTCCATACAATGAAGAGTAATCGAATGGTAAATGCAATAACTTTTTTATATGATATTATTCAGTCAAACCAGTTGATTAACATACCCAACTGCAGTAGCTCCCCAGGATGCCACATTATAAATGACCTTGCTTCCATCCCACGCCTTCCGGAGTTTGCCTTTTCTTTTCTTCACTGAGAATGTTTTGCAAAGGGCTGCATGAGATTCAAGATATAATCAGACCAGAACCAAATTGCTTGAAGTGTAGTCTAAATTCCAATATGAAAAGAGTGTAAATTTTTTTAAAGAAATTCAACATGGACCCTCGGAACATATTCATCCACAACATTGATCGGGATCTACTTGGAACGGGTGGGGTTGATGGGTTGAACCAGCTTCCAATTGAAATTCAATGCCTTTATTTGGGGGACAAGCCCACATTACTGAGCTTTGCAACATTGATTGGGATCTACTGAAATCTAAAAACATCATCTCAACAAGAAAGTGCGGCAAGACTCACCATTCTGAAGTTGGTTAGGTGACAATTCCTGCAAAACAATGAGATCCAATGAAAACGTTGATTGTAGGCACATAGCTCATAGAAATAATGCTTCTTCTAAGACCAGATAGACATGAAAGATAAATTGCCAGTTGCCACAGCCCTGGGCTAGTGTGAAATCAGGGGTCAAATTAAGAAATCAATGTGCTATACTATTTATTACCGAAGGCTTAGGCTTCTATGGGACCAGCTGAACATGAGGTGCCCCTATCGAGCACCGATCGATTCAAATTTTAAAAGCTCTTGTTGGAAAGAATTTTATCTAACATAGAATAGCCTGATAGAATATAGAGTAAAGAGGCTCTCTAAGTCTTTTATGGGCTTGAGGCCTGAGTTCGAGAATGTTAGATCCTCAATTCAACATTGAGTTACTCCACTAAACATTGGGAGAGCTCTTTCTGACGTGAGATCCAAGGAGACTCAACTTGAGCCCCAAAACTAGGTTGGGTTCTTTTTGGTATTTACAAGAACTGGATGAGAGAATTATAATTTCTCAAACTTTAACCATTATATACTTATCTTGGGGTATTGTAAACCAAGACACTTAAAACTACCAACACCCAAATTTCTCCAACACCCAATTTTTGGTATTTATAGCACATATGTATGTGTGAGAGAGAGAGAGCCATGTGAGTATACCTTGGTTTCCTTTAAGGACAATAAGTATGCAGCCATGAAACAAGCAATGCCATCGACTATATCCTCTTGCTTCACAACGATGTAACCTTCTTGATCTAGAGCATCACCACTTTCCCATAGATCCACATCACTGACCACGTCCCAAGAACTGCATTCTTCTACCATTACAAAGAAAAGGAATAAAAATAAAATGAAATGAATAATAATCAACCACCAATCATGCCATAAATAAAACAATATTTTCATCTCAAATGAATGAGAAGGTCCTGTAAATTCTAAATTTCTATCTTCACATGCACGAACTACAATCTGTTTGCAATTCCTTAATAAAGTCTGGTTAAGTTCTGAAGATATACCAAAAGTGTTTAGTGGAACTGATGCTCGAGCATCCTCTAGCTTTTCAAGAAAGTCACGGCATTCAACTTTAGATTTAAGTAGATCACACAACTGCAGAAAGATGTTTTCAAGTCAATGCCATGGATCATAAAATTTAAATACAAATTGAAACCAAATTCCAATATAAACAGCATGAAACCCATATAAAAAGAATTTCAGACATCCAACTCCATCCAAGAATTTATCAGGTAGCTAATACTAACAGCTAAGTTTTAGAGTACCCCTCCTTTTGATTACTTGCAACTGGAGGGCTTATCCATGAAATTTTATGTAGGTGGTATTTAAGGGAAAAGGGAAGTGTTCTTCGCAATTGTCCTTGAACTTCCATCTTTTTCAATGAAATCCTATTTCTTATTAAGACTGAAAGTGAATGGATGGAGGCTACTAGCTTTCACTTTGCAGGAAAAAGGCATTAAGAGGTTGTTGTTTTCACATTTTCTCCAAATGAATGATATTGTGAGATCGCATATTGGTTGGAGAGGGGAACGAAACATTCCTTTTAAAGGTGCGGAAATCTCTCTCTAGTAGATGCGTTTTAAAACCCTGAGGGGAAGCCCGGAAGAGAAAGACCAAAGAGAACAATATCTGCTAGCGGTGAGCTTGAGCTGTTACAGATATTACTTGCATTGGCACGTGATTCAAACATCCTCGAAAAACACCTAAAGAAGTCGTTGTATTTCACATTTTCTCTACCTAGTTGAGTTGCGCCAATTACACCTCCCAAAAAAATGAAAACAAATTTCCCATCAACGTGACCATGCCCACGAACAGTCCTCGCTGATGCCAATTACATGCATAAGAGACTTCAATGGAAGAATAAACAAACAAATCCTGAAAGAACGATGAACATAAAACGATTTCCACGATGAATTACTTCCAGACAACTTCAAACCAATCATTATAGGCAACTTCAAAACCAATCCTTATAGGCAACTTCAAAACCAATCCTTATAGGCAACTTCAATAACAATCCTTATAGGCAACTTCAAATCAATCTTACACCTAACTCGTCACTGTATAACAGTAGAGTAGAGCATCCTCAAGCTGAACCAGAAAAAAGTACCCATTGAGTTGTGAAGCATCCATAGAAAGAACTTCGATTCCAGCAGATGACAAACTACCATACGCTAATACATCAAAATCATAAGTCGTTCATCTCATCTGGTATTCAATCTCACATAGCAGTACAAAACAAATAAGAAAAATGCACAGAATTTCTAAACTCACTCATATAGCATCTTCAAAGTCATTATTCTAAGTTCTTCTAAATCAGAAACAGTAGAAATCAAGCCAACATTCAGCAAAGAATTCCCAGCTAAAAACCTCACACGGCAGCCCGTAATCATTGTGCTAAATAACCCTAACTCAGATACAATAAAATAATTCTCAGTTAAAATCCCCGAAACTACAAAAAATTGGATCCATAGGAAACCCCCATACCTCGTCGGCTTCTCGATCACCCCGCACAGATCCCGAAACCTCTCCGTGCTTTTCATCTTCATATTCATCCCCCTCGTTTTCATCGACACCGCTGGAATCGTTCAGCGATTCGAGAGATCTCTGACACTGCTCCAGCACAGCCTGCAGAGTCTTCTTCTTCACGCGAATCCGATCACCAGTCGAGCCCTCTAAATTCCTCCTCTTATTATTGTCGAAAAAATCCGAGTTCGATCCAGACACCTCAAGCTCCATGCTCTAGCGAGAAACAAGCTCCGTTCGATCTCCAAAGACGATTGTTCCTTTGCTAGAAAGCTATGAGGATCGTCTTCTCTTAGTTCTTTCCCATCTGATGATGAACTTGGTAGGCCGACAGATTACATAAATGTCTACTTTTCTCGATACCATATAATACCACTTTCGATGTTTGATTAATAAATGTTTGGTATTTTTATTATAAAATTAGTTTGATGGTTTTTTTTCCCGCTAAATAAATAAAAATATTGTTCAACCTTTTGCTTTCTCTTTAAAAAAAATATATTTCTAAATTAAAAAAAAAAGTTTAATTATAATTTTAAACTCTTAACAAATTCTCAAAAATACTTTTATACATTAAAAAAATAATAATACATAAAAATATCATTAATATCTCAAAATATTCTTTTAACTTAAAAAATATTAAGAATTAAAAAATATATAAATAAATACCTTCAAATATCTTTTAAAAATTAAAAAAATATTATTATCATGAGTATGACGGTTAAAAATATTTTTTTCTTTAGTATTACAATTAAAAAATACTCATCAACTTTAAAAATAATATTAAAAAGTTTAGAGATAATCTATAAAATTTCTAGAGTCGATTTTCGTTTATATATTAACATTAAAAAGTTTTTAAAATTTGTTTTATAAATATTAAGAATTTTACTGTTACATTTAAAATTTCATCTGCATTTCTCAAGTTGGTATTAATAAAACTTTCTAAAATTTAATAATATTTTTTAAATAAAATATTTTTAATCTAAAAATAATATTAAAGAGTTTTTACATTTTTTTAACTATAAAAATACTATTGTATTTTTTAGAGTATTTTTAGATATTAATTTAGCTTTTCTTTTAAAATATAATCTAATGAAATATATAGTAGCGGTATCCACGTCAGACCCGGCAAGCGTGGGTCCCACAATATCCCTTCCAGTGCTCCCTCAAACACGGGAACAAAACGGCCACACCGGACAAACCTCCAAAAGGAGGGGCAGTGGAGAGAGGGAAAAAAAAGTCAGAAGGGCGAAATTACGGAAAAGCCCTTCGTCTATTTCCCACCAACACGTTCGTAGCGCAGAGAAGGACCAGGAATTGGGGAGACGTGTACAACTGCCGCCCCATCCGGAGACTCCGCTCCGGATGGCGCTTGCTTGACCTCCGGACTTCCGTTGAGGAACATTTCTGGCTCAATCCATCACAAGAAGAGAGAGAAAGAAAAAACAGAAGAACGAGAAAGCCACAAGTCTCTGTTGCATCTTACGCTTCTTGGAGGGAAAAAAAGAAACAAAAGTTATTTCCCTCTCTCTTTTGCTCTTTTCAAATTGACTACAAGAGGTATTGTTTCCGATTCGGTTGTGCTTTGGAATCGTTTTAATAATCGTACATTGTTGTTTTCGTCTCGCGGAATGAAACGCATGATGTCGTAAGCTTTGATTCTGTTATATCTGGTTTATCTGCGGATGTTTCTGCTGCATTTTGATAATGATGATCAGTAGTTGTTGCAGTGATTTTCGGTCGATTGATTTGATTGATGATTGATATGGTGCTCTGATTTGGAGATACGACGATGGCTAACCGAAACGCCGAACAGTCTCAGGTTTTGTATTGTGTTTAGTTATTGGCTTGGTTAGTTTGTTGTTTTAGCATTAAGCGCGCCGGATTTTTAATTGTTTTCTCCTTTTGGATTACGAATGTTCGTGTTATTTGTGTTGAGATGTGTGCGTACGGGTTGTTGGAAGGGGTAGAATGTGACGTTTGAATTGGGGAATTGAAATCTATCTTGTGTTGTTGTGGTGTAGGGAGAATGCGGCAGTCCTCCGTCTTCGCCACCTCCCCCTCCGGACGATCCTTCTGCTGGTTCTCGTGTTGGCAACACGGTAGGTTTTATTTCTGTATTTCTTTTTGCACTTTGGATGTGATTTTTATGTCTCCAGTGTCCGTCTCATTTCGTCAATTGCTCGATGTTGAGATTTCATATATAGGCTCCTGATCTCGCATAGTATGCGCGCTGAGCATTAACCCCATTGCTAAAGTAACGAAAATAAAGAGCGAACTTAATTTGGCTTGGCGTGTGATGCAATTTTAGGGGCAGAAGAAAATGAAAGCTATGGGAATACTTGCAAAGCAACTCTAGGAATTAGTATTTGGTGGTTTTCTTATTTCCTGGAACGACAGTCGTTGGAATCTGTTTAACGTCTTACCTTATGAGAAGAGTGAGAGAAACGACCGCTAGTTGGACATGCAAGAACATTAACTGAGGATGAGAAGCTGTTTGTTAAGCAGTCGGCAATCCGATTCAACGAGGCGACATACTGAAGTTGGACTTGATTTTGCCGCGTTCAATCACAAACCAGATGGATGCCAATTGGACATGTTTAGTGAACGGGGAACCCTGTATTTGAAGCTATAGCATTCATTCCCATGTTGTCACATCATATATCTGGTGTTTAAGAAAGAGGGAATTGAATTAGTATTATTATTTTATTTTTATTTCATATTTTTTTTGGAGGAGGACCTGACCGTCGATCCAAAACCAATGGAAGTTACTGAAAGCTAGAACATAAAAGAGATGAGGGAATTAAATTCCATGCAGGAAAGACGACAACCACTTCAGCTTCTATTAAGTATTTGGAAGTGCATAATATCCACTCCTTACCGGATCCATCCACCTCCTTTTGTTTCTTCGAAGATCAAGATAAGAGCTGCTTATGCAGCAATAGCTTGAGTGTTGTTGTGGAGCCATAGTAGAGGAGAAGCAAATCAACGCTACAAGGAATTTCTTTTAAGATTAAGATAAGAGCTGCTAACGCAGCATTAGCTTGAGTGTTGTTGTTGAGCCATAGTAGAGGAGTAAATCACACTACAAGGAAAAGAAAGATATTCTAAGACTACACAAGCATGGTTAAGAAAACTTAAAAGAATGGGATAGTCATCACCTATATCAACAACGTGTACCTCTTTTTTTCATGACCTACGAAGACTTCCAAAGTTAATATGTTTGCTTGGAAAATTTTGATATTGAGTGATCACCTAGAGAATTTGTTTAGAACCAGGGACAACATATTGAAAAGACATGTATTGATTTGTAAGGACAATTTTCATAAATCAAGTCAACCGATAGAGGCTAAGTCACAAAAGATGCAAAAAAGAAAAAAATGTCAGGTCAGTAGATGTCCGATTTAGATTTTGCATCTTGGTCCAAATTTTGGGCATGAGGCAGTATAGTTGGTTCCTTGGCACTAGCAAGATATGCTCTAGTACCAAATAGAATGCAAGATGGAAAAAATAGGTTATGGAATTCACATAAATTGAGGATTGATTCGGTTATATATATATTTGGTAAGAAACCGAACTTTTATTGAGAAAGAATGAAAAGAATACAAGGACATGCAAAAAAGAGTTCTATCAAGACAAAAAAAAGCAAGAAAGAGCACAAAAGTAACTACAAAGAGAGGCTTCAATCCATGTCAAGTGTAAGCCATTAAAGCTCAACCATCATTCCATATCGACTACATAAAATGGCCCCATAGTAGTGAAGTTCTTCCTCCTGACTTCTTCAAAGAATGCACCATTGCGAATGCAACACAAAGGAAGAATGACTTTGAGCCTGCCACATGAAAGAATTTGATTTTCTTTGGAATTTTCCTTTTCCAGATAGCAGCAGAAGTAGAAATAACCTGAACCGGAGAAGGGACAAACTAAAAATGTAAAAGGGATCGAGAGAAGAAGCCTTCCTAAGGAGTCCAAAATCTAGAGCCCCTTCTCCTGGTCTTGCAAAAGGGAAAGAAAAAACGCTACATCAATCGTTAGAAAGAGAATGACTGAAGACCTAGGGTATCAAAGATGAAGGATTTGACAGAGAAGGTAGAATCAAAACCACCAAGTACAACTTCTTTTGAGAGAGGGGAAATAAATGAGGAAACAACTCACAAGAGAGTTTCTCACCAACCCAACAATCTTCCCAAAAATGAACTTTTTAGTCTTCTCCAATGAAGCATATGATTAACTGAAAGAAGAAAAAGAAATCAGATGTGATAGTTTTCCAGAGATTTTTCAAGGTCTCTTAGACCCACTACTTGCCACCCAATCAAAAGGATGTGGGTCATATTTACTCACAATAACTTTGTATCATAAAACATCAAGCTTCGTGAAGAACCATCGCAACCATTATGCTTCCAATCTCTAATCCACCTTGTTCCACACGCTTCTCCACTAACTCCCAGTGACAGAGTTTTTTTGCTAATAAAACGAACTTTTAGCAAGGCTGCCACTGAGAATGTTAGATGTAATAGTACAAAAAGAAAAAAATATATAGAGAGAGAAGAATGTTATACATTAGCTGTAATGATCGAAGAGCAAGATTACTGAGTTTTGCAGGGATCAGGCGAAGTGTTTAGGGATTAGCGTTTAGTGGCTTTGCTACTAAGACCAACACCGTTTATTGCATCTGCTTTAACAATGAAAAGAACATTTTCTGTTTGCCAGCCTATAGTTTCAACATTGATTGAATCTGAAAAGTGCCAAGACTTCAGTCGGTAACAAGGAACATTTCAGAAGGCGCAACTTAATTAGCAATATATGTTGTTATCTCTTTATCACGTGTAGCAGGGTTTTTTTTCCATGTATATTTTATTGTTGTATTTTGTGGAGTAAAATTTTAGGCTACATTACTTAAGTGTTTAACTGTATTGCAGGTTTTCAAGAGTGGACCACTTTTCTTATCATCTAAAGGTGTGTTTATTTGATTTTTTTATTCCTAGAACTTGGGAAAGTTAACTCATCAATGAATTTCATCCCCCCCCCCCCCCCCC